TTAAGATAAACACAATAGCATTCCAGTGTTCGATCAGAGCACTACAATCACCATAACCTCTTAGTGATAATATTCAATAGATTATAACCTACTTCTTGTTACAGTAAATCATAATCTCACCAGTGACATGCAGAGAATAAGAAATTGATTATCCTCTAATTATCCAATGAATAGATATATCAACACCACAAGATTATTAAGAAATATAAATATCATTTGTAAGTTAACCAAGGTTAATAATTCCCATTGGAAATAAAGTAAAATAAATGAATCAAACAGCAATAATAAAGATATGTGTTAATTATTGAATCAATGCATTAACCCTTTACTTGCCCGGCAACCCCAAACAACATTTAGTGGGTTTTTTGTTCTAAGTTGATTTTTACACGTTTGGCTGACGAGTCAGATTATGGAATTATTTTCCGAACAATACCAAACATAAGTAATCAATTAATTTCTGAATAATTAAAGTTGAATATTGACATTTTAGATTTTGTGATACGTTCTTGCATTTATCTGTGAACTAACCTTGAAAATTCGACACGGAACTTTATTAAACATTTATTATTTCATACCACGTACTTTTCTAAAGTTGTGATCATTATTAACAAAAAATTTTTGATTTCTAACTCTAGTTTCAACTATATGAAATCTATATGAAATCAAATAATTTTTCATTTAAACGTATAACAAGAAATACTTAGTAGTTAGAAAGTATTACTTTAAAGACAAGAATACTAATATAAAATATGCCTTGTGATATAGCAATTACCGCTCATTTACTTTATATAAATGCCATATGATATAACGATTTTCTAATATTATTTCATAGGTTTCTACAAGCAACTTCCAGAGCCAATATCGTCCGAGGCATGTCGTAAATTGCAATATCGACGTAAAAGTGATAGTATCAAACGTAAAGTGCGAGAAAGATTTTTGAATATTTGGTGAGTCCGATCATAATTTAAAAATTTTTTATTTATATTTTTTATGTTATATATTTATTATGTAACTATTGAAATTTTTTATTTTTGTATCTGCTTTTTGATATAATAAAATTTGTAAAGATCGTTAAAAAAAATCAAATAAAAATATACAATAGAAGTAAATATAATACGAATTAGAATACTATTTTATGTATCATACATCATGCTAGTTATAAATTAATTTTAATATGCAATTTTTATTACACTAATAGATTGCTAATGTTTTACTCAAAATTTATCTATTATATTATAAATATAATATTAAATAATTTCAAAATAAAAATAGTATCCGTAACATCAATCTTAAGAAAAAAATAAGAAATGAACTATTTAAAATAACTTCCATCTGTTTAATTTCTATTTTATTACTTATTTAATTAAGATTGTTCTAAATGTTTTGATTTAGGATAATTTATTCATTTCATTTATTGACTCGATAATTTTTAACGGTGTATTTACTACTTTTATTATTCTTTAAATGAATAATAATTTGATAATCATTAAGGCTCATTTAATCAACAATAATTGAACAAAACGTTTGATTGAATAGCCTTTCGCAATATTGAGAATATTGTTGATATTCCATCGATACGCTTATTTCGTTTGACTCCGGCAAATCCATTTATAATTCTATTAATACAAAACAATCTATAATTCTATGAATAATGAACAATGAAATTACATACTAAGACATGATTTAACAATTCAACTCGAAATATGATAAAGAAGATAATTATAGTATGCAATCTATTGAATGAAAATAGATACAAAGGAATTTGGAATGGATACATTATTAAAAATGAGACGCTTAATACAAGGGTATGAGACTGCCACAATTAACATATGAATGTTTTTGTTACCAAAATACTTGAAACCAATAAATAAAATGACCGAACTTAATAATTTGAAAAATTAATCTGTTTTTGTTAACAACATTATCAAAATCTGTTTGTTTCATTTTCGATACAGGTTATAATTGATTTCATTTCACTCATAACAAAACTTACATTAACACTTGAACATAAATATAGCGTTATAGAACAATTCGGCAACAATCGATTTAGAAATACCAATAATTAATATAGAATTTCTTTACACTATGTCCTAATCTAAGATGTGAAAAACTATTATGCAGTTTCCAATATCTGCCAAAACAATTGTAGAAAGTTCATGTCCCACTTACTTTTAGCAAAATACACAGATCCCACTAAGGCATCGCTTACTAATTACATCACTCAGAAGTGGAACATGATATGTAACAGTTAACAATAAAGTATTGACGCTACCTATTTTTATCAAACTGCAAATATATGCAATAGAAAATTGCAAAAAATTAAATTCGTTTAATGATCGGATATTCAATTGAATCCACGAAGTGTCTTTTTTCATTATTGATTCATTATGCATTTAATAAGTATCGAAATAATCGATTATATTGTAACGATCTAATAGATATATATCACACACAAAAATTTAGTTTAGAGAAAAAATAGTTATAATCAAATATTTATTCTGTTAAATTCATGTAATTAACTATATAATTAATTTATACTATTTAAATATTTTTCACGATATTTGTTCGTCGCGAATTTTATGAAAAATATCAAGATTTAATGATGATATCAATGTATTTGTTCGGGATTGGAGCAATTTCCAAGAATTTAAAAATGGGAAAAGTATAAGCCTTCTAACGCTTATGTTTGTAAATATTGATTGGGCGAATTCTCACATATTCTACGCCTTATTTTCTAATGTCCTAGAATATTTCCGCGTAACATCGTCGATTGAAAAATCTCGAACCGTCCAAGCCTTCTGGACTTCTCGAATATTCTAGAGCTTGGTTTCTGAGTAAGCTGCCACGCGAATATTGAAGAGCAACTTGCCACGCTCCTGTGCTCATTGTATTTTTCTCCATCAATCAGTTATCAGTTATTACTCACACAATCACAAAACTCCGCCATATACCAGTCAATCAGTTGTACTAAATACACATGATAAGATCGTAAGCCAACAGTGAAGCCAAATAATTTCTAACTAATTTAAGTGAGCCATAGTTAAACAGTTAAGAGTGCTGATTGCATTTCAAGAGTGAATATTAAATAAGAAGCGCACCACCTACGCACTCGTTACACATGCAGCTAAGACATTAGCAGGCTATTCTCTGGATTCAAGAACTAAGACGTTACTGCGATCGAAGCTGTACTCAGGATTAAAAGTCGTACGTAGTACTATACAAGGAGTGTAGTAATTTTCACAAAGCGCGCTTCAGCAAGAGGACTCGGAGCTTTACAACCTTCAACCTCGACTTGCAGTGAACGCTATCTCCGCGTGAAAACCACTAAGGAACTCATAGATTCTCAATACTATCTTAGAATCGTATTTATTGTGTAGTTTATAAATAAATAAAGAGGAATAATACCAAGATATACTATGTGTTAAATATTCAATAAATGCCCCATCCCTTTCCACTTGCCAGCAATCCTTCAACATTGAAACATTGAAACATCCGAACATTGCTTAAATATTTGATGGTATTCAAATTTATGAAGCTAAAACTCAACAATTACAAGTAATTAGGAATATTCTAAATTATTTATTAGGTTCTTGAGCAGAGTTCAAATGATATCAATATTTATACCTGATATCACTATTAAATAAAACTCTTGAATGATATATTAAAAAAGAGAAGGAAAGTAAATTTACTCTACTATCAAATAAAGAAATTTTAAATAATATTAAACAATGTTTAATAAACTATAATAATTTACTAAATACTACATAGAAGCAATTTAATAATATTTTAATACCTAATATCTACTGTTATTTGTTTAAGACTTTTCATATAAGACTTTTTTATTTTCTTTTTTAACATTGAATTTATCATAAAATTAGAGTATAAATAGATTACAAAGCTTCAAGTTCTTTATAATAATAATTTAAACACTATTTCTTAAGACAATTTCATCATCTCAACTACATTAACTGAGTTATTATCAATATTAAATCTATTAAAAGAATAAATAATAACCTGCATTTCAATTCGTAGCAATCTCGTTCAAATTGAAACAAATTAATTTATTGAAATCTAAAATATTTATACCTTCTAACTTTTAAACTAGACTATAAGATTTTAGATTCATAAACTAGTATAATTATTTGTATTCAGTCACTTGTAATATCTTAATCCTTATCTTGAAATCTATACAAAACCAAATTTGAAAACAAATGATACATCTGTCTATTAATAATTAAGGATTATTAATAATACATACAATATTGCGTTCGAGATAAAATTCAAAGGTAATTGTTGAAATTTTTGAACATTCAGAAGAATAAAAATATCTAATTATTTACATTACTCGTTTCATTTAACATTGATATCGAAACAATAACAACAGCACTTATGCATATGTGAATTGTTTGTTATATTATGTGTTAGTGGAACCGAACCAACGTAGGTCATTAAATTGTGCCGCTTTTAAATATTCATATAAATCTGTAAGATAATATAAAGACAATGAAAATGATTTGACTTTTGCACGTGTATACATCAGTTCAATTATTCTATACTAATAAGTTAGAAAATATTATGGTTCCGATTTTCTAAATCAATAAAAAATTTATGTCCTTTGTAGTTTATGTATTTGAATGAATTATAACCATTGTATATCACAATATCAACTACAATACTTACAAAGCATTTAACTTATATTCCGCTTTTATATATCTATTTTTCTTTCTTCTGATATCACGTTATGATCCCGTTATGATAATTATTGAGAATGGAGTTATGCAATAGAGATTAAAAACAAATTGTACTTAAAAAGACCAATTTATAGAAGAGAACTTAAACGTGATTTGCAACAGTGTTGATATTTTTACTGAATATTTAAAAAAATGAATTTAGTTTTAGTTTCGATATCATTTTACTATTCTTATTTTACAAATTTCATAATTAAACTCCACAAGGTACAACTATAGTTTTAATTAAAAATTAGTAATTAGAATAAAGTATATTTTACATTACTGCATTTGTTCGAAAAAGTGTTGTTTATTTGATCCGATTTATTCGAAGGATCAAATGTATTTAGTTTTCTGGCTCGAACTGCCAAGTTAAATAGTTCAGTTTATTTGTCGCCCGCTTTAACGTAGCTTAGGAAAGGACATAAGTGAAAGTGCTGTAAATATGTACAGTGTGCGCAAACTTCTTTAGGACATCGTTTCTTTGGTTTTATTGACAATTACACTATTGTATTCACTTCTCGTGGTAGAGAGTGTATTCTGTTCGATCACAATGATGTAGTTGCTCCTTGGTGATGGTGACGATGTTGTCGATGACGTAATGGGGATCAGATATGGATTTTGTATATTCCTTGAAGGGGAATATGGCTTGGTTGAGGTTTTTGTTAAAGTTGTAAAGGTTATCAGGGTGAGCCGACCATACTCATAAAGGGGGTATGGAATTATTTGTGGTCTGTGCTAACGTTGTAAAGATTAGTAGGGAGAGCCAACCATACTTATAAAGGGATTATGGAATTACGAATGGTCTGTGCTAACATAGCAAGGATTAGTAGGGTGAGTCAACCATACTCATGAAGGATATTCTCAATAAAGACTCCTGGTATACCTTCGTATAAAGGAGGGTCCGATACCATGCTTTGTGTAATCAACTATTTCCTAGTACTACGGTTAGCCTTTGAATGGTTGTTAACCGTTGCACACTGGAGAATTGAACGTATATTCTTTGCAATGGCTGCGCTGAGAGAGCGTATGTTGCGTGACTTTCTCTCCGCTGTAGACTACGTTTGATGGCGTGGCTAGGGCGTGGAGGACTGGCTAGGACGAGTAACTGACTCGGAGGAATAACCGACACTGTGTACTGAGTGACTGCTAAGTTATAACTACGAGGAGTGCTTAAATAAATTTAATAAATTATAATAATAAACTAAATACATTATGGA